CGTTAAATGCTCTCTCCAAAGTGTGCAGATTCTATATAATATATACTAGTCTACGAAATTTATTATATTAAAAAATATATTCGCACACTTAAAAAGCATTCAGATTATTCCTGATAAATATAACTAAGTAATTGTCAATCAAAAAGAACAATTTGCAACACGTCGAGGACCAGATACTCTATCTAAAGCAGACTACTGTGGAAAATCCCTTTAAATGTGTGAATTATTTTTCTTAAAATTATTAACAATATACTAAAATACTAGATGCAACAGATTTACTTCTTAATTTGACCGCATTATTTATAATAAATAAATAAAATAATACATTTTTTATACTATTGTAACAATTTAATATGGATTTCTGTTAACAGCAATTCATCCCGAATAACGTTCTCTTATAGACATATATTCGTATACAAGCAGTGATTTATTCTCTATAGCTCCATCTGCTCGGGTAGCAAAGTTCATGTCAGCTAAACAATACCCATTACAAAAGAGTAAAAGTGTATACGAATTGCCGGCAAGTAGTAGTTTTTTTTTTCATAACAATTTGAATGCATTCATCAACGCGTTGCTGCTCTCTTTATATAGATATGCGAGTTTTTCTTTTATATATAGTCGTTGGGTACGGCAGAACGGTAAGTGTCAAAGACCCAACCATAGCTCACATCGGGGTCAATTGATAGACTCAATTATGGCAAAATATCACAGAGCCGAGCGAACATTCAGATACATGCATGGAGCCACACCATATACATATACATATGTATATATTAGTATATATTTATATATATAGAAGTATATCTGAACAAATTGAACGTGACACGTTACGTGTGAATTTGGAAGGAAGTATGGAAGTATGTGGACCTGTGACCCAGCGATAAGATTGCAGTGTGAAATGTAATTTCGTTTGCATTTCCTGGATTTGCACGCCGGCTGTCTTCAGTTACCGCTGCTGCTTATCGGGTTCAAAGTCCGCTTATCAATGACAGCCGCCCAATTGACTCACGCCGATTGATGACGCTGTGGTCCGCATATCAATTGCTTTCTACTCAAACAAACCCACACGTATATCTTTTGTGGTAGCTGTAAACAGCAACGGCAATTGTAATTCAAACAGTTTACGTATACATTAAGTATACGTACATACATTACGTATACGTATCAAGTCACATCGATTATAAAAATATGTATATTTCCATATATGCCGGTTCGCAAGTGTAGTCTTCGCAATTATCAACACTGATATGACAGCTACACACACCATCGCAACAATTATGAATACAAATGCCCGATTATTTACTTTGGCTGGGTGTAAACAAGTTACTCACGTGTTGTCATTATTATTGCACAGCTATTAGCAAAATCGACTCAATTGTTGGACACACAGACAGCTCACTCGTCTGCCTACTTAAAATATTTATTTATTTACTAATGCGAAACTGCATTTTTCGTATTATAATGTACTCTATTTAAAACAGGAAAAGCCAGTAATGAGTGTGAGCAGCTTTAACCAGGTTTAGTTGCAGCTATAAAATATATTGTAGTTTAATTAAATATTTATTTTTGGAATTTTTAATTAATGACTATGGTCAGCTTTAACCAGATTTAGCTGTAGGAACTAAATATATTATAAAAGGTCGCTAGTTAAATTTTACCACAGCAATAGTTTAAGCAAATGATTGAAATTACTATTTTATTTTAATATAAAATATTTAAAACAATATTTTTTTACTATTATGGTACCTTTAAGACAACTTAATCTTAACACAAATTATTTATATACATTTTCTAAGACTCTCTCCAAACTAATAACGCCTGCTGAATCATTCCCTAAAGTATGCAATATATTAGTCATATGATTTGATTGTAAAACTCTTATTTTAGCAATTACAACTTAAATTAGTCAAGCGTTTTTTGTCAACAACTTTTAAACCCAAACTCAACAGGAAACTTCGAAATTTTTCATTTTCAGTCAGCAAACTAAATCAACTCTCCATAACCATTTTTATGAACACTTAAAGGAAACATTTACAAATTTTCCTCATCAAACAAACTCGACCTCATTAACGACCTCAACATACAACAAAATTAAAGTCTGCCCAATAAGTAGAACTAGTTCTTAGCCCAATTCTTATTTAGTTTTTTCACGTGATGAAATTTCCGAATTTTCTATGGCTTCACGTTTTAGGCTAATAATAGCATTGAGACACTTTTGACGACTGGAACAGCTGAACGGACGCCAGCCATGCCTACACAGAACAGCGCCATGTGGCGGCAGAAGAGCAACCGCGGCCTGTTCATTGGCATCTTTGGATTTTGCCTTGGACTGTTTGGGATCATGTGCGGCATGTTCTGGGAGGACATATTCAATTGGATCAAGCATAAGGTAAGGCGACGTGATGCGTGCAGCTGCAATCGCTTAACGCCAATCAAAAGCCAAATCAGAGACGACACGAGTCGTCGCAGCGAGCAGGTGGCTCAAACGAGCCGCCTCAATTGATGCACACTTGTTGAGATTCTTTAATTAATGGCAATTGGGATTTGATCTTTGTACAGGAAATGGCGCTCGCACCCGACACACGTGTCTATGAGAACTGGAAGACGCCGCCGATGGAGCTGCATCTGGACATCTATCTGTACAACTGGACCAATCCCGAGGAGTTTGGCAATCTGAGCAGCAAGCCCATACTGCAGCAGCTCGGCCCATATCGGTTCATCGATAAGCCCGACAAGGTCAACATCAGCTGGCATCCGGCAAACAGCTCGGTTACCTATCGCCGGCGCAGCTTCTACTATTTCGATGCGGCCGGCAGTGCGGGCAGCCTGGACGATGAGATCACCACGCTGAATGCCGTGGCTCTGGTAAGTGCACCGACCAATGCTCACATCGAACTTGTCCAACAATCGGTGAACTCTTGCAGTCAGCAGCAGCCACGGCCAAGCAGTGGAACGCCGTGAAACGGGCCATGGTCGATGTGGGCCTGAAGCTCTATAGCCAGGAGATGTGGGTGACGAAAACGGTCGATGAGTTGCTCTTCACTGGATACAGCGACTCCATGATTGATGTGGCCATGGCCATGCCCATCTTCGGGGATGAGGTGAAGGTGCCCTTCGACAAGTTCGGCTGGTTCTACACGCGCAACGGCAGCGCCGATCTGACGGGCGTCTTCAACGTCTACACTGGCGCCGACAATCTGGCCCAGCTGGGTCAGATGCACTCCTGGAACTATAACACGCACACGGGCTTCTTTGATTCCTATTGCGGCATGACCAATGGCTCGGCCGGCGAGTTTCAGCCGCAGCAGCTGCAGCCCGGCGGCAGTGTTGGCCTCTTCACGCCGGACATGTGCCGCACCCTGCCATTGGACTATGTGGAGACAGTGGAGATCGAGGGGTTGCAGGGCTACAAGTTCTCTGGCGGCGAGCG